AGTACGCCGTATGCCCGGATCTTCGACGTGTTTATCAACCGGCTGCCCGCGGTCAAAGGCCTGGACGTGGTGGTCAAGGCTAATGGCGCACAGACCGCCATGTTCATGGACTTCGTGGTTCCCATGAACGATGGTGGAAGTTCTATGGTGGTGGAGCTCGGCCCCTCTCCGGGGAATGGAGCGCAGCACAACGATTCCATCCTCAGCGGGATCGAGATCTTCAAGGTGAACAACACTCGCGGGAGCTTGGCCGGGAGTTTGATCCCGCCGGGTGTGGATCTCTCCAAGGATGATGGCTCTTCCGGGGGTTCCACTGGGATCGGCGCCGCTGGGATTGGCGGCGCCGTCGCTGGTGGGCTGCTGGTGATCGGGCTGCTTGGTGCCGGGCTGTGCTTCGTCCGGCGGCGGCGCCACCCCGGACTGGCCAAAGGCAAGAGTAAGAAGAAGAAGAGCGCGTCGTGGCTGCCGCTCCACGCCGCCGGGAATGGAAACTCCACCAGCATCGCGAGCAAGTTCTCTACCGGCGGCGCGTCCAACAAGAGCGGCGCCACCGTCGCGTCCACCGCCACCTCGAGCCTCGGCGGTCGCTTCTTCACCTTCGCCGAGATCTTGGAGGCGACGAACAACTTCGATGAGACGCTGCTGCTGGGCGTGGGAGGATTCGGCAAGGTGTACCGCGGGGAGCTCTTCGACGGCACCAAAGTCGCGGTGAAGCGCGGCAACCCGAGGTCCGAGCAGGGACTGACCGAGTTCCAGACCGAGATCGAGATGCTGTCCAAGCTCCGGCACCTCCACCTTGTCTCTCTCATCGGCTACTGCGAGGAACACTGCGAGATGATCCTCGTCTACGAGTGCATGGCCAATGGAACTCTCCGCGCACACCTCTACGGCTCGGACCTCCCGCCGCTCTCGTGGAAGCAAAGGCTGGAAATTTGCATCGGCGCTGCTCGAGGGCTCCACTATCTCCACACGGGAGCGGAGCAGGGGACCATCATCCATCGCGACGTGAAGACCACCAACATTCTCCTGGACGAGAACTTCGTGGCCAAGGTCTCGGACTTTGGGCTGTCCAAGACGGGACCATCGCTGGATAGAACTCACGTAAGCACCGCCGTCAAGGGAAGCTTTGGATACTTGGATCCCGAGTACTTCCGGCGGCAGCAGCTAACCGAGAAGTCGGACGTGTACTCGTTCGGGGTGGTGCTGTTTGAGGTGCTGTGCGCGAGGCCGGCGATCAACCCGGCTCTCCCTCGCGAGCAAGTTAACATCGCCGAGTGGGCGATGCAGTACCAGCGGATGGGAGCGCTGGAGCAGATCGTGGACGCCAACCTCAAGGGGCAGTGCTCGCAGGAATCGCTCCAGAAGTTCGGGGAGACGGCGGAGAAGTGCCTGGCGGAGCAAGGTATCGACAGGCCGGCCATGGGAGACGTCTTGTGGAACCTCGAGTATGCGCTCCAGCTCCAGGAGGCGTCGAGCGGGGATAGCAGCGGGATGATACTGGATCACTCGGCCACGCGGGCTGGAGACCAAATGGAAGTTCCACTCCGGTCTTCTGCGGATCACCAGGCCGACTACCACCGCCGGTTGGGAAGCGAGGACGATTTCGAGGATGCCAGTGCCAGCGCGGTCTTCTCGCAGCTGGTGAATCCTCAAGGGAGGTAAAAGCTTGGATCTTCGCGTAGCTTGACTTTTACACGGATCACACAAAGTTTCTACGACATGATCAGAGGGACGAGCTAGAGTAACGGCCAGGCAGCCGGTCGCTGTCAGGAATTCATGCGAGAATAACGAGAAGTTTTAACGGGATGGGACCACCTTGAACTGCATGCTTCCTCATTTTTTTCTATACAGTTGTTGACTCGTAGATTGTTTAGTACCTACATCCTATTGGATTCAAGCTGGTCTTTTCTTTGGTTTTGTTCTCTCCGCGTTGCCTCCAGAAGCAAATTGCAGTACTCGTCACGTCATCCACAGCTGCCTCGCATGTGTTTTTCTGGCGGCTGTCAGCAACAGACAGCAGCACTCTTGTGAGTGATCGATCACAGAAAAGCTCCAACAGGGAACGAGACAACTAAAAGGTTGGGTGAATCAGTCAAATTGAGTGGAACAATTCCACCTTCAAGCTCGTCCATGCCGCCACCAAAATCATCCACCAACAACACAAAGTCCTCTGTAATAGAGCATTTGAAACTATTCCCAGTGTACTGTTGTGGCCAACTTACACTCCATGACGTCTAGAACAAATGGAAGCTTCCTATTAATAAACTATTTAAGCAGTCTTAATATTTTTGGTTTGCTTAACAAAATTTGTTAAGTAGTGGTACTGAATATACCTAAAATATGCTTGAATATTTTGGGTTATCTAGATTAATATATTTATAATAGTATGTTCTAATTTTAGTTTACCATCTAATGGTTGATATGTAATAAGTTTAATCTCGTGTTTATAAATTATAAAACATCTTTATAATTATAAATTTCATAATGATCAATTGGACTAATAAATAATAAATACTACTATTAAGCATCAAATTATTTAGAAACCATCTATACATGTGACTTATAACTATATAAGTAAAATATATAAATTAGAAATAATTCATCAAATTTAACTCAGATGAAATTTATTTATCATTCTAAGCATATTATAAGTGGAATTCATTATTCATGAAAATACTTCATAAAACTAATATATACATTAAATATAAAATATTTTATTTCACAAATTTCTCTAAATTAAAATATGTGAGTGCATGGAATATAGAACTATAGCTGAGTGGTCCAAATTAAAACTAATTTGATAACTATCAAAATCCCACTACATTAATAATAGTGTATGGTATTATAGTTGTACATCTAAACTTCATCATCCCCTCTTTTGGAAGGCAATTAGGGTTATTTGGTTAATAGGCCAGAATTTAAAATAGGTACTAGTGGATTTGTAAGTAGTGCTAATTTTTCCCAATCCCTTTGTACGAAGTGATTTATCCAATGCATATGCATAATTTCTGGAGAATCAACTCTTATAAGTTTATGGTTCAACTTGCCACAACACTTAATACATTTTACTAAATAAGGAGCTTGTTAAACAAATCATATATTATAAAATTAGAAAAATAAACTAACACTAAGTCATCCACTTTGTATTTTGTAAGTAAACAATGATGGGAGTTAAATTGCCGTTGTCATACCACTTGTACATGGCCAAAGTATTAACAGACTTTGCTCAAACTAGTAGAAGAATGTTCATCAAATACTAATCCTAAAACCTAGCATCTTCAATTTGTGATAATCATGAAACTCCATTGGTAGTATTGGATCATGACCATAGTTTATATGATGAAGCATCAGTAAAACTCTATACCTTTGTGATATACATATACTAAAGAGATGGTAAATAATTATCACAATCCAAATGCTAAAAGTTTATATACTTCATAATCATCCCTTTAAAAGTCCAAATAAACCATTCTACTAAACTATCTATTTATGAATAATAAGCACTTATGAAAAGTGTGGTGTATCCCCAACTAAGCCAAACACAATTATACACATATTAAATGATATTACGGTATATTTTTGACCAATAAAAAGACCTATGTAGCTTTTCAATCATACGATAATGTTTTATATGACCACTTAAAATAAAAAATTCATGGTAAGTGTGGATATAGCATGGAATAAAGATTGAAGGCACCACTAACCATAAATGATCAATCCCTACAAAATAAAAGTCATTCTTAAAGTGATATTAAGAATATAAATATTGAAATGAAAAATCATTAATAAGTGATGCAAAATTCTCAAACCCATCACAAAGCCTTCAAATCCATAGCTCAAATTTTTTAGCCTCATAAACCTCATTAAAAAAAAGGTAAATCTATCTCCACACTTTGTGGATACTAAATATTAAGTATAACAATTATTAACGGTATAGAATCCTTATCTAGAAAATCTATTGATGTTGAAACAATAAACTGTAATAATTAAAAGAGAATTATTCAAAAGACAATTTGTTAAAATTCAAATATAAAGGGAAAGGACTCATGAACAATAGTGCACCCCTTTTTATAATCAATTAAGGGTTTTGGAATAAGCATCTTTGGGTTTAAGTAGTATTAGCAATTTGGTGTAGTTAGGCTCGACCCTAGGAGTAGGGTGTTAAGAAAGTAAGGCTCTCAACTTCTTTTTACAAAAGTATGAATTTGTAGGAAAGTATGGTAAATTGTATGTAATTAAAGAGAATAATTTGAGAAATGAACTATAAAGGTTTAAATATAAAGAGAAAGGGCCCATAAAAAAAAGTGCCCCTTTTTCAATTAGTTAAAAGTTTTATAATACTTAGAGTCAAGTGTTCTTGGGTTTGAGTAGTATTAGGCTGAGTAACTTCCTAGGAAGTCCAAATTCAAAAACTTACACAAACTCATTAAAATAGGAGAGGTAAGTGAAGAAGGGAAAAAAGTTTGGAAAAGAACATAATCACTTTTTAGTAATGTTCAAGAACCATATAAATATATATGAAGCTTTTCAAAACCCCAAACTATTGTTAAATACTCATTCTTTGTCATTAAGTAGTTTATCTTTACTGGTTGTAATATACACTAATATATGCAAAGGGACAACATTAACCAAGTGCACTCATGCTTTTTTGTATTACACCCTTGAGAATGATATCAAAAGCATCCATGAGAAAAATGAAAGGTCGAATATAATCAAAATATACCAAAATTAGAGGAGCCTTAACAATTCTTTAAGATCTACACATGCCCACTCACAATCCTTAGACCAAATGAAAGACAATGTTGATGACTTCATTAATGTTTATAATGGTATAGTACAATCAGAAAGAAGATGAACAAAATGATGGAGATATTCCACCTTGCTCTGGTAGTATTGCATATTATTTACACACTTCAGAGTAAGAAAAATTAGAACAGCCACAAATTTATCAAAATCAATTTACAAACATTTATGAAAAATATGGTATACAAGATAAATTGTTGTAAGCGACTAAATTTTCAATTCTACTTTAGTTACTTAACCACACCTTTGACCATTTGGAAAAGTCTCACTCACAACCCCTATAAGTCCTATTCCTAACTTAAAACATATTAGCCCTATAAGTGGCATTTATACCACTTATCTTTTGCACTTGGTCCAAATGCTCCACGTGTCCAATCTTATGATTGACACCCAAAGTTACTATTGATATATCAGCTCATTATGTTAAGGCTATGTTCGTTCATCTTTGTCACATTAGTAGTCCAAGACCACCTGCATCATAGCTCTATCTTTCAAAGACTAGGGCCCATAAGTGTTCATCCCTTAATTACACCTTAGCACCTTTAAAATGCCTGAAGATATCGAAAACACCCTTCCCCAATGTCCTTTCTTCCGTCCCCACCAAATCCCTCTTCATCCACGGCCGTGCTCACCCATATTGCCACTGGGTCAAGGCCCAAAGGCTTGACCACTAAATCCTATTATATTTTGGGACTTCTTCACCATATGACTATATCCTTGGTCACTACGCCAGAGGATTACCCTTTTTCTTTTCCACAATCTGGGATTTTGGGATAACATTTTGAAACACCATAGCTCTACACAAGCCTCATAGGCATTCTCCCTACCTTCTGCCTTTAAGTGCCTTAGCCATATGGCTAGAGCGAAGTTCCAATGAGCCACGTGAGATATCCAAGTAAATAGTGGCACCCATACTTAGATTAAGAGCATTGACTATTCAATCTCCTGAGGGAGCTAGAGCCAGCTCTTGAACATTTCACTAAGCTACCCTACTTATTTATACATATTTACTCTAGTCTTGAACTCCTTAGTGGTTTTATTATCACCCACCACATGGATATAGCCTTCCTTGGTTACATTGCCCTTTCCTAGCCAAACTGGCTCCACTAGAGTCCTCCCCTTACTATACTTTTGGAACTCACTAAACCCCCTAGGGTCTGGGAAATGAATGTTTTAGGCTTTCACCCTTGGACTTGGACTCGGACTTAGCTTGGTCTCAAACTCAATCTTGGTCTTGGTCTTGGTCTTGGTTTTGACCTCAGACTCCATCTCAAGTCCATCTCGGACTCCATTTCAGATCTATCTCAAACTCTATCTCGGGTCCATCTCAGACTCCATCTCAGGTCCATCTTAGACTCCATCTTGATCTCTTTCTCGGGTCCATCTCAAACTCTTTCTCTGGTTTATCTCAGACTCTTTCTTAGGTCCATCTCAGACTTCTTTTTGGACTCCATCTCGGACTCTTTCTTGGGTTCATATTGGACTCCTTCTTGGGTCTATCTTGGACCATCTTGACACTTCCATATGTCATGTGTTTGTCCTCTTGTATCCCTTTTCTATAAACTCACTTACTGCTTGTTTCATGCTCATTCCTTAAGCATTTCGTTAGGAGTTTCACTCCCACTCTCGATTATTCAAGTCATAGCTTTTAGTCCAAATGTGTTACACTTGTTTGGCTTCTACTTTGGCCATTACCATGTGGCACCCTTTTATCTCCATTTTGGTACTTAGGGATTTGTGTCTTACAGTTGTGTCCTTGGATCTAAACACACACTTCAATCACTTTAGCTTTAAATAAACTTTATAACCAATCCAACACCTTGTGAACATCACGAATATGCTCCTCATATGTTCCCTTCAAGTAGATCAAGACATCATCAATGGAGTTAGCAGTCACCTTTGGCATATTACAAAGAACTTCACTGAAAAGTTCTTGAAATATTGTTTAGCATTATTAAGAATCTATACAAATCAAATGGTGTATATAAAATAGTTTTAGGAACATTTTCTTCAACCATTAGCACTTGCTAATATCTAGAAGTAAGATTTAACATAGTGACCTAGCGACTTCTTCCCAAATGATCTAAAAGATCAATAGTGTGAGGAAGAGGGTACATAT